GTCCCTAGGTGTGAGTGTGAGCGCGGATGGTTGTTCGTCTCTGCGATTGGCTGGCAAATGGTTCAGGGTGTCCCCCGCCTACTGCCCGATGACAGCTGGGATAGGCTCCAGCACCCCCCGTGACCCTTGTAAGGATAAAGCGGATCGGAAAATGAATGAATGAAAAAGCAAATACTGTCAATTGTTTGTTTTATTCCTCTTGAAAGGACATGTGCAGTATTTTCTATTAAAGCTCCAGTGCTCTACAATGCCTTACCTACGGAAATTTGAGCCGCCAGCTCAGCAGAAGGGTGTAAAACTTCACTTAAGACTTATTTGTTTACTTTAGCATTTAGATGAACTACATGTTGACCTTTTTAACGTCTCTCTCGCCTGCCCCCGTAATCGCCGGTTTGGTGATGATGACCGAATTGGATGTCACTATACGGGCTTCCATTGCAGCCTGTTCATCCTGGAAGGGGCCCCAATCTGCGGCCCCATCTCAAGGTTTCTTATTTTTACGAAGATTAGTTTTTTTGAGTTATTCCATGTCCTCCTGTGGGGTTAAGATCAGGGATGTCGTTAATATTTGTCAACTGTCAGCTTCTAAAGCCCTTTGAGACTCTTCTGTGATTCAAGGCTACATAAATAAACTTGACGATTAAAAACACCTTTTGGACTTGAAAGCGCACTTTTGTAGCACTTGTAGTGAATTCATCCGCCTGGCCTGGTATCTTTTTTCTGACATTCTGGAGGCGGTCCTCCAAGAACCCTGTCGTTAGTTTATAACTTTCTCCCTGGGGCGAGACGTGCATCCTTCCAGCTTCCTATACTCTTTCTCATGCAAAGCCGAGGCAAGAATCACGTCGTCTTCTGGCTACCTGTGATCTACCTTCTACAGTGATACTGTAAAAAAGGCCACAAAGTCCTTTTACTGTGTGAGGAAATATTTCTAGATTAGATAGATAGATACATATTTGTGTGCCATAAACATGTATTACTTTTGTATGGATTTAAATAATGTTTGAGTCTAGTTTACATAATTTGTGCATGCACAGTGGCAGGTGTGGTTGCAGCGGTGCTGTGATGCTCGAGGACATGCACATAGTATTGTGAGTTTGTTCGGCCACTGAGGACTAAATCGTATCATCCAAATACACAAGCATGCAAATGCATTATGATTAGCAGTTGCTTGTTTTACCAAATTGGTTTGAGTGTTTATGTGATGTTTATGAGTGAACCTGTCATTTTTAAAAATAAGACTGCCAAGCAGAAGTGCTGTGTGCTGTGAGTGACGGCGTGTTTTTTTTTTTGTTTTGTTTTTTTGTCACATGGATGGACAAATACATAGATGGCCACCCACGTGTGCACACAGACATTCAACATTACACATGATAAAGCAAGTACTCCACGGCGTTTATTGAGTAAATTAAACATATGGCTGAGACAAATTGAGGCGGCCTACTGGGCATTTTTCTATATGTGACGGCAATGGTGACAGTGGTGTCCATCCACTCAGTTAAGTCAGGTCAAGTCACGCGAATGCCACCTGAACTAACTGGGCCTTTTATTTCATGGACCATTGTGTATCTGTATGCATGTGTGTATCTAAAATGCATTTTTTCAAGGTGGAGAATGAATTCTCGCATAATGCTATGGAGGCACCAAATGCTAGACAAAGTTTGTAAGCAGTCAGCTCACGAATGATCAGGTGAGTGTGCAGTACTTTGACATGAAGTGACTGTCAGTAAATTGTCAACGCTTTTTTTTCCTACATTCATTTTGTTTTGATTCTCGTTGATCTTTATCTCTGACCTATTTCACTGAAGGCGGAACTTGGTTGCCTCTGACCCCTTTTTTTGAACAACAAAATTCTGGCTAGTGATAATGCCAAGGAGCTAGTCACTCTGAGAAACCACTAGCCATGAATGTACAATGCAGAGTACAAATTCTGATTTACATAAAATATTTAATGACATAACAATATATATATTAGTATAATAAGTCAATAAAAAATTGGCACAAATAAACAAATAAAAGGTGCCGTTTCGAGTCTCTGTTAATTCATAAAAGTAAAGCTTATTCCTGTAAAGTCATGTTTTGTGTTAATTTACTTATTTTATGTATTTTTTAATTGTGGATTTCTTTATTTTTTTAATTATTACTTTTGCAATGTTATTTTTTTTTTATAATCTCAATTTGCATTCACAAACAGCAATGGCCACATTGATTTATCTGATTGATGTCTGTTTTTCTATTTTTTTCTTTTTTTTTTTTTTTTTTTACATGTGACAAGCCAAACAAATAAATCACCTAAATAACACTTTAAAAACTCAATACAATGACAAAATACACATTTAAACCTAAGGCTGGTAATGCAACCAGATCATCTCCTCCAATTGACAGTGATGTGACGCGGTGACACCTCACAGTGGGTGCCAACGGGGCAACATTGTCACAGATGACTGAGCCCATCACTGACATGGCGCCTCTCATCCGCCACTTTCTGTCAGCAGTGCTGAGACAGGGCGATCTGTTCATCTGGCTCTTGCAGATGGACGGGTTGCTGTCACGGACCATTGATGGGAAATATGGCGACGGATGTTTGCTTTGCGTGTGAAATGAGCCGAGATGGTCTTAAACACCTGGACTAAAAGCAAGCATCATAAATTGATGTCTTTATCGATTTCAACACTTTTATCAATGGTGCGGAATTGCTGTAAAGTGTTATCACAACAGGTTGAAGCTCTGCAGGCATAATGGAGTTTGCTCCTTGGCAGCAACCAGCAGAGGGCACAGTTAATTCAGGCCCAGCTAGTTTGGAAACTAAACAGGCCCTCAATGGGACAGGGTGGTGCATCGCACACAAATGCTCAACATAACAATTGGCTATTGTTCGGTTCTGTCACAATCACAATAAGGATTTACAATCATAAATATGAAACATATTTGCTTGATTGTTAACCCCAAAAATGATCTGAGCAAAGGGGAGGAAATACAAAATGTGATCAATGTGGTACTAAAATATTTCAGGCCATTTTTCTCATTTTCTCACCCCACCCGGAACTATGAATTCTGTTCTCTACCAGAGAATCCTAAAGGAGAATGTTCAGCCATTAGTTCATGACCTTATGCAAAAGCACACTTGGGTTGTGCAGCAAGACAATGATTGAAAACACATTAGCAATTAAAACTTCTCAACGTTTTAAATAAGACAAAACAAAGGTTTTGGAATGGCCTAGTCAAAGTTTGGACTTGAATTAGAATTTTGAACTGAAATGCTGTGGCGTGACCTTAAAAGGGCTGTTCATGTTTCAAAAGAAATGGCCAAAATCTTTCCACGGACTGGCACAGGGATGTGAAAAACTCCAGTTATAGAAAACGCAGTTGTTGCTGCTGAGGGTGGCCGCTACTTGTTTTAAGTCAGCTGGGAAAGGCTACAGCTCACCCGCGGTGCTACTGAAAATAAGCGGTTTTGGAAAATGGATGGATGACAACCAACAAGGCAGGTTTCTTCAAATGACGACCCCTTAATCTGCAGCCATTTGCGGTGAAATGTACGTACAGTAGATCTCTGTGTCCTGGATTGAGTTGTAGCTTCATGAGCCCAACCACACACTTGCTGACAAATGAGGTTCTGACATGAAGTGTAATAATGGCCAAACATGATCCGCTTCCCCACTTCCTCACCCGACTTCTTACTCACCTGCAACCTGAGCATGTGTGAGCATGGAAAAGCATGAGGTCACCTTGACAGAGGTGAGAGCTTTGGAACCGAACTACCAGATGATAACCATAACCAGGGTTGGGCAACCTAGGCCTCGTGGGCTACATGCAGCCACGAAGAGCAATTGATCAGGTCCAACCTTACAGACTTCAAACAAATAAAGCATCAAAGACACACATTGTTAAGATAAGGTTTGATCAAATGAGACCTTTCTGGCAACATTTTCACCGACAACCAGATATCACATTAGGGCACAGGCTAAATCCTATGGCCCCCATATATGGCACATCCATCAATCTCAAAGTCCCACAACATAATTTTAAATTCAAAAGAAGCAAACTGAATTAATACTTCAAGTTTGTTGCATCCATTTTGCGAGATTACGGCAGTTTCGAGGTGGCTACTCACCATTTTAATCTATCTCTACACGTTATCACATTACCACAGTCCCATAAAAAGCATGTATCTCCTTCATTCATTGGCGAGATTCTTTGTTTCTAAAATCTGAAGAAAAGGATTTTGATGTTGTCCTGATAAAACACATTCAAGTTGGCGATACATGTTTGTTTTTTTTTATTAGGCAGCAACCTAAGTGTGCTGTGTCATATGCCTGTCACTGTCCAATATAATAACTTGTTTTCGCATTTTTGGATAATTTGACTTTTTTCCCCCCCAAACACAAAAAAATTTAGGCTATGATAAAATTCAACAAACATGTTAATGAGAAGGCTCAGTACCTGACACTGTTCAATAAAAACACCCCATTTTGAGCATGTTTTGGTGGCGCTTTCAATGGTTTTGAGGTGGCCCCACATACAAGCCTTGGAGGCTCCTGAGCATTTTAATCACTGTGCAACAAAAAGCATGTATCACTACATTTTGGGATTTTTTTTTTCTATCGACACACAAAAAATATTACACTTTTCTCAGATGAAAATGCATATTAATAGTAGTAGTAGTAGCAGTAGTAGTATATGTTATCAAACAATTTATACAAAATATGAAGGTACGTGTGTACTTTTTATCAGCATGTTTGAGTATGTTTTAACAGAGTACCTGTCATCGTCCATTTAAATGCATGTATTTCACCTTTTGGAGGCCATTTAATATATATCAAAATCTGATTTTTTTAAGCACACATTCTTTTTATTAGACAGCAACAATGTGTAGTGTCAGTCTTCAATTAAAATCTCCCAAATGTTGCCAATTTATATATTTCAAGTCATGATTTTTTTTTTCTTGTCTAAAAACTCAACTTGACAAAAATAAGTCAAAGACATGTATATATTCTTACCTTTATGATGCTGCTTCGACGGGGTGCTGCCTTCACGGACTCCAGCAGCGTGGTCTCCGGGTCCTGACCGCCCCCGCCGGGCAGGATGACACCGCTGCGCCGGCCGCGGGACACTCTAGCCGGGATAGAGTCCGGCGCTCCGTCGCTGCACAGTCCATCGCGCTCGGACATGTTGATGCGGCTCGAGTCGGTGATTTGAAAAAGGAAATGAATCAACCTGTGGAAAGTTTGGCTCGGTTGTGCTTGAATGCCATTTAAATGTTCAAACAAAGAATGATCAAGCGTGTGTACGCGTATGTGTGTGTGCGTAATCGCGCGGTGTTGAATCACAACGACATCCACTGGCTTCAACTGTTTGGGTCCTTGAACGCAACCGGCCGTGTCTATGTTTGGTTCTTTTGGAGCAAAACCAGACTGGTGCGCGCCCCCCTGGTGAAGCGCAACAAGTCCTCCCAGTGCTTTATCGTGGAGAGGAGGGGGTCCGCGAGTGTGCGTCAAAACCCGCCCACGTCTGTCACGGTGCACTTGCAAGTGGATCCAATCCAAACGGGTTCCGAACCCCGCGCTTGGCTAGGTGGCGTCCTCTCCGATGTCAAAGTGCACGAAGGAAGCCAAGTTGAAACAAGTAGAAAAAGGTGCGATTCTGCCTCCTCTCTGCGCATGGCCGCGATTCCCATCGCCCAAAAAACGTGCTGCTGTTACCGACTCGGTTGCACTGTTGACGGCACCAGCGAGCGACTTTTGACGGCAAAACGGAACAATTGACACGCGCCCGCCTCTCCGCCGTCAGCCAAACCCCGCCTTAATGGTGACCTCAATCGTGATTGGCGTGTGTTTTGGCCAATGGGCGTAATTGAAATGTGTGAGTCCTGAAGAAACAAAGGCCATTCATCCAAAAATTCACAATATACTACTTCATTGGTTAAAGAAGTGATTCATTCGTACTGTCTGTGCGCAGTGAGATCCTTGGTGTGCCATGAGAAAATATTCAATTTGACCTTTTCCGTAATGGTAGGAAGTAATGAAGTACAAATAATTGGTCGGAAGAAACGAAATACAGTACAAATACTGTACTTCGTTGCATGCTCACGTTGATTTTTGATGCGTTTATTCTTTACTGGAGTATTTATCTTTCTCACAACTTTTTACTTTGAATTTTCAATCAGATATCTGTAATCTCTCTATTGATAAAATAGGCAGAGAGTTTTTTCATCCGCAGATGACAACATGACAAAGAAAAGACAAAAAGGAATCAGGGACAGAATATAATGGAGCATTAACAACGATGGTGCAACAGATTAGGAGAGGCAAAATATTCCTGATGCAGCAATTCCAATCCCTTCAAGCACAGGTACAAGATCTGGTGCAAAGAGAGAGTCCAACTTTTTTTTTTTTTTTTTGTCAAATGGTGTTTGTTGTGCTTCGTGTGAACCAATTGTGGGCTGTTTTCAGCATTTTGGCCATGACCTTCGTTGAAGAAACAATCTGTGTTCAGTGGAGATGTCGGCGCTTTTGGTGCGGCTTGATGGATGGCTGTTGGAGCTGAGGATGAGGAGAGAGGAGCCTCGGCGTGGAGCGCGGATGCGTATTTAGACCTGAGAGTCGGCGCTTGGAATTGAAGCGGATTTCCATGGGACAGCAGAAGTGAACCAATCTCTTTTTTTCATCAAGTGACACTATAACTTCTTGTTTACTTTCATACTAGCAGGTGTGTGCACATTTTGAGCATGATGTCTCTGATCCACTGGTGAAAGGACACTTTGATTGCCTCCTCTTTCATCCATAACTGCTTCAACCAACAAGGCGTATGCTGGAATATGGTTATGATTGCATGGCTGCCCATGCATGTCTTATGTTATATTACCGTATTTTGTTATTTTAGGTTAACTGCTCTATAAAGTGCTTTGTTACAGCTGCAGCTGTTGTGAAAGTTCTTATAAAAATAAAGATGTATTGTAAAAATTCATGTTACTTAAGAGGGAAAAAAAATAATTACACACTTTCAAAATTATGGATTAGTTGCACAATCCACTATGTGAATTGTATTAAAGACTGCTTTGTATTATGAATGATTTTCATTTAAAAATCAATTTCGACTAGTTCAGCAGAGGTATAAACATGACCTTTGGATTTGATATAATTCAACTTCAGTGGGGTGTAGACAGGAGCCAAGGCCAAACAATTCTAAAATTGGCGAGCGGTGAAAAATACAGCTTTCTAGATTCACATCTCCTCGAGATAAATGTTGTCATGAGCGGTCATGCTTGATTAACTAAGAATAGAATAACTAAGGAGGAACATGTGAAAATTAATGCACAAATGAATCACAAAGTCACAGCAAACAATTTGAAATAGCAACACGGGATTCTTAACAAAATCAGTTGAGCATTGTTGCATGTGTCCAGTCATCTCACCTTTGACCTCAGCATGTGTTGTGTTACATACCATGCACAACTGATAATGTGCTTGCTTCCAAATGTACAAATCATCACTGAGCATTTTGACTTCAGATCACCGCTAGTTTGAGGGTCCTACCTGGACCTTTGAACCGTGCCTCCACAAAGCCGAAATCAATTCTTATAAAAAGGTTTTACGCAACCCTACTGGCAAATTTAGCTGAGGTATGCTTGGTTTTGTGTGACGTATGTTTACGATTCTGATGCAAAGTGTATTTTGCACAAGAAACCTTTCGTTGTCCTGAGCGGAAGGATTAAATGTCCCACTCAAGGTCACCATGCCGATCTGGGAGGATTGTTACACACTTGCTGACATCGATAACATGCAGGCTTTTTCTACTAGACCAAGCCTATGCAGCTGACTGATATTTGTACATGCTTCCTATTAGGATAAACAAATTGACGCTGTAAGCCAGAAACATGCTCTTTCCAAATATGCTCAATTTAAGATTTATTCACAAACGGATACTAATAGTCATGTAGTCTCTTATTTTTATAAAATATGGTATCTTGAAAGCATAGGCCCCGTGGTCCAGTTGTTAGCGCGTTGACCTCACAGTGCAGAGGTCGTGGATTCAATCCCCGCTCCGGCCTCCTTTTGTGGAGTTTGCATGTTCTCCCCAGGCCTGCGTGGGTTTTCTCCGGGTACTCCGGTTTCCTCCCACATTCCAAAAACATGCAGGGCAGGTTGATTGAACACTCTAAATTGTCCCTAAGTGTAAGTGTGAGCGCGGATGGTTGTTCGTGTCTGTGTGCCCTGCGATTGGCTGGTAACCGGTTCAGGGTGTCCCCCGCCTACTGCCCGAAGACGGCTGGGATAGGCTCCAGCATCCCCCGCGACCCTTGTGAGGATAAAGCAGATCGGGAAATGGATGGCTGGGTATCTTGAAAGCAAAGGCAGTAACTCTCTTATATAATTGTCTGAGAAGTGTCATATAGTCACCGAATGAAAATATTTGGTAGATGTATCTATTAAGCGGGGTTTGAGAATGACTTTGGGAGTGTTGTGATCTTCCAACAAGTCCATGACAGAGAAAAAAACAAAATCGGATCTTTGAAGCCGATAATAGAACCGTATGTTACAAATAAGCACATTTTATTCTTTGATGGAGCGTCAGTCTGTTGAAATTAAAGAATTTTAAAAAAATAGTCATAAAAAATTAAATAGCATTATGACATAACTGGCTGATAAAACATTAAAAAAATAATTCTGTTGATGCGAAATAAAAAATAACTTGTTGCTAAACTGAAGTGCTTTTGAAATAATAATACTTTTTCACTTAAAACTCATTTAGTACCTGCCAATTCTGGACCAAGTCTGAAAAGACATTTAAAAACGTCTTTGGGAGTGAATGAGTTTTTTCAAGACTGACCTTGCGTCAGGCAGAATACTCTACCTCCAGACCCGTATTTGGGGTCTCTTTTTGGAAACACCAGGGATTTAATACCTGCAACTGAAGACATTTCACAATATCACAGAGAAGTAAGAACAGACAAGAACACAAACTGAGAAACAGCTTTAGTGTTTTGCAACACTCCAACATGAATAAGTCATGCTAGCAATGCAGCAGCCATGGTTAAAGTCGGCTTGTTTACCATGCACATCCTTAAAGGGACCTTTGATTGGGCTGAACATAAGCACTTACGAATAGGTCTGTCAGAAAATTCACTCTCCTGCAAAACTCAGTAGTGATTTGATACATTTTTTATGACATTCGGCGCATCTTGGGGATTGTGATTTTTTTCTTTTTTTTTTAATGGGCACGGACAGTTGTTTTTTTTGTTTTTTTTACGTCAGCCTGAAAGCATTGTGTTTGTATCATCGGGACTAATCAATGAAAATAGATCCAGCATGAGAGAAATTTCATGTAAGCCGCTCAATTCTGCATTCTGTCATTAATGAGCCATGTCGAGGCTTATCCTTGTGATATTTTCAAAAGTTGAAGTGGAGATAAGTAGAGATGTCCACATAAATGTTCTTGCCAATGATTGCAGTTTTTTTACATTATTAGCGATGTATGTACAATGATGAATGGACAAATCGTACCCAGTTCCTCCACTGCCTCCCACCAAGAAAAAGGAATCAGGAGGGAGCGTGGCTTTATGGCTGAGCAGAAAGGGGCAATTTGAGAGTACGGTAGTTAGTTATTTACTGATTTCTCCAAAACAAATCGATTAAATTGAAAATGCAAGCTCATATCATGTTCCTGATGAAAAAAAAACCATACATTTAGAAAATTTATAAGTGGAGAATGGGCCATCCTCACTAGAGCAGTCCTTTGCAGTTTTATGTTTGTGAGGGGCATGGCTTTTGTAAGAGACATGAAGTGAAGCTATATTCAAATCTTGCTTGCGGATTGAAAACTGTAAACCCCATTTTTAATTACTAATTATACAAGTACAGTTAATATAGTGGTACTTGTCGCAAAAAAATATATTCTGATACATATTTCCCCGATGCAATGAAGGTATCGATTTATCTTTCATACAATGATAATATAATGTAATTTTTTTGTGTTATTTTTGTAATTGATTACAATTGAAAACTCCCAACATTTGGAAACACAGTATGTGCTTTTCATTGGACAGCCACGATTTCCATTCTACAGATCTATAATAACACAGTATTGCCATATATTCCCATGGATTCCCTTTCTCAAGGGGCCAGTTAGTTGCTTCCATGTTAAAGTATCCCTTGAATGCCTGCGAACCGTCCAAAAAAGTCAGTTTTTAGGATTCATCCTCTGGAGATGTGAAAGAGAAATGACCTAAGACATAAAAAGTGGAATATCTACTCAAAGAAGAGGCAACCGGACACAGTTGGGTAAATCCACGGAAGGGACCTTTAAACTGTTTTGTTTTGGGGTTTTTTAATCGTTTATTGAGTTAGCAATTGCTGTTTTTGTTTTTCAAAAAAAAAAAAAAAAACTTTGAAGGCATGCAAGAGTGGGTCCTCGGGAATACTTGCAAAGCGGAGGAGATACAGTATGTGTCAGTCCTTGAGCCACACAGCTGTGGAATGTGGTCAGCCAGTGAGGCCCATTAGTGCACCCAGCTCACCCCTCACACTCATACGTTATATGCTGCTGAAATAGCAACACACACCGCATTAGCTCACTGCTAACATGAGAAAACCCCTTACTCGATTTTTCAACAGAATGTGTACAAAGATGAGTTAAGTAAGAGAATGCAATTCTCACAGAACTAGCATTGTTTAGCTAAAATAAAATCATTGAGCTCATGTTGCTGTCTAATGAAAACCATCCATCCATACTTATGCGTATACATTTTCGATCCTGCTTGTCCTCACTAA